CCAACAAAATGGTAGATGATAGTCTGAATAAGGGTATAAACAGCATCAGACTGTTGGACTTGCTGGTTAGTAGCTGGGTCAAGCTCAAGTTTGACAGCGGTCAGGATTTCTGTTTGTTGGATAGGAGTCATGATATTATCCCACCATCCTTTAAGAATACCGGTAAAGCCATTAATAATAAACTTGGCGATGGCCTGATCATTATTACTGTATTGGCGGCAAACAGTAGCATACATCATCATTTGGTGTAGCTTTTTATAAATACCAAATTCAGATTCACCATCAATATTCCATTCATAAATGGTTTTACCATGGTAACTATTCTGTTCATTCAGATAAGCTTCTTCATAAAGAATATCTGGAGGAGTAGGTCGGGAATAGTAATTTCGGGTATGAGGTAAAAATCCTGGTTTAGCGGAACTGTAATAGTTTAGCTTGTTGACGGATGAGGGTTCCTGAAAATTAGGTGGTAACTGTTGGGTGGTGAGATAACGGCGTTTAATCTCCCACGGATCAGACATCCACTGTTCATCAGATGGTTCAATCCAAAGAACAGTTTCGTCGGATAGACTGTTAGGCGTATAAGGATCTTCAGGTCTAAGGAGAACATCCTTAGCCGTTGGATTACTGGATTGACCTCCTCGAGAGAGAGGTGGATATTCTGATGGATCATAGCGGGGGTTAGAGCCCCGGCCACGACCACGACCTCTTTGGTCCCTACTGGTCATTTGCGGATTTCTGCAAATATTCACGGGTTAAAAAGTCAGGCAAAGAGTTAGTTTCTCCTTTAATATATTCAATATCAAAGTCAAAATTGGATAAATAACCCTGCCAGCTTACGAATATCTGTTTAGAAACAAGATGGTTTAATGGATACAGGATGGAGAGTCGAAACTCCTGTAACAGGTGGAGCTAAGGTTCTGTCCTTAAAGGTAGAAACAGCTTCCTCAACTCGGGTTAACTGCTTACTGATGGTTTGGCAGATAAGATTAGTATAATTATTTTGTCTGGCTAAAGAGGATTCAGCCTTGGTAAATTTAGTAGATTGTGCATCTATATATGCGGTAGCAGATAGGGGTTGTTTGGTAGTTTCACCGTTGGGTACCAACTCTAAAGATTGAGGAGGTGGATGTAAAGAATGGATGACCTGGCCCTCAGTAGTAGTCCAGGCTTTATACTGGTCTTCAATAACTGTTAGTTGTGGTTGGGTAACTGTATGATACCATTCAACAAAAGGTATTAATTGCTGATGTAACTCAAGATGTTGGTAATATTGAGTTTTTTAATTAGCTAACTGATCAGAGGTATGATTGGTAAAATACCAATCTCTAAATTCTTTATATTTTTTCTGGTTAAATTCCTGGTTTAAAATTTTTCTATTTTTACTTCCGGGTATAAAATCCATTAAAGATCAAAATTCATATCACTGGCCGTAGGGCTATCTGGTGAAGGTGTAGGTACTGAGGGTGCAGTATAAACACCATGAGGAATTCGGTTTTGAGAGAGGCGGATTCCTTGAATTTCTGATGTCATAGGATCTTCCTGTGGATCACTTGGTGGTCTACTAGGAGGTCTAGATGGTATCTGTTGAAGAATATTCTCTATTTGTCGTCGAGTTGGCATATTATCAACAGATTGACGGCTGGATTCGGGATAGTCCACTTGATAAGGAGGGACAGATCGGAAACCGTTATTAGATAGGCTTCTAGGGGCAGTCCTAAAACTGGCATTAGAAGAATTGCTTCTGGTAAGCATAGGTTTTTGGAATCAGATGTAAACATTACCTTTGTCTGTCTGGATAACATCATCTATGTTATGCTGTATGAGAGGTTTAGGAGGGACAGCATTGGGAATTTCCCATCTATCCGGGAATGTTATATCCTTCCAGGGAAGGATCTTGGGAACGGCAACTTGGCTACTGTAGAGATTTGTTTCAATCAATATTGTTTTTCCTGCTTCAGTTTTCTTTTTAACATAAGGATTTAAAGTTGTTAAAGCCTTAATACAAATTCTGGAATGGACTGAAAAAGGTGGTGTACCTGGTTTATACTGATAGCCATGAGTAAGAATACGCAATTCAAGAGTTTCGGATAGATTAGTATCACATAAAGCAACACTAAGATTCGGGTATATATCAAAATAAACTGGTCCATGAGACAGACTAGTCTCAATTGCTCCCATGAGTGATGCACGCCAATCAAGGCATCTTCCATCACGTAAGGTGCACTGGATACTGGTGTTTTGACCAAGAAGGGTCAAAGGTTTAAGGGCTATTTGTACCAATCTTATATGGATGTACTTGTACAATTTAACAAATGGAAGGAAATCATTTATATGAATTAAATGAATGATTTCATCATTGTTTTGAATACAGGAGGCATGTTCAAAAGTTTTAATTATCTTTTTACTGAAAAATTCAAAAGTTCCTTTCTTATAAATGGTTGATGGATCTACTGTTGGGATAGTCCATTTATCTAGGGCTTCCTTAACATCCTGGTAGGCTACTAATTCAGTGGCTTCGGCTAGAGAGGAAATAGTATTTCCTACTGATGTTATTGATCCTGATTCTGGTATTGCTTTTGTATTATCTTGTTGAGTAGACATGGTTGTACTGTGATCATATATGTCTAATTTATTTAATTTATATTATTATTATATGCTAACTAAAACTTGGCTCTGATACCATGAGAGGTGCTCACTAAAGGTAAGATTAGCACGTCTGTCAACGACTTATGGGCATCAAACGGTCAAACGCACTCTCTGCACCACGACCTAAACCCTACGCGACTTGGGTGACGTCCCACTAACCCTAGCCATTAATTAACCTTACATAGGCACAAACCCAAGAATTAATACACATATAATAATGACATAAATAAAACAAATTAGTACATATATGATCTCATATACCTTTACTGTTGGGGTGGCGGAGGCCTTCTGGCCGCCCAAGCCACCAGCTGCTCGTTGATCAGCTCCTGGAGTTCCTGCAGATACCTTTCACAATTGGCTAACCGCTCGGTGATGTACTGTTGAGTATAACGGTCAGGGGGAAGGCTAAGATAATACTGTTTCTGATTAAGCCAGAATTGTTGTGCTGATAAGTATAATTCTAGTAAATCAACTGAGGACAGAAATACGAATAGCAAACTTTTATTGAGGAAGTAAAATATTTTACAAGAGAGGGTTGGAAGAAGATTACAATAGAAGGAAAATTCAAAAGAGAAGAAAAGCTGAAAATTTCTAAGTGCCTCAACAAGGGTGAAGGCAATCCCTTAAATAGACAAAAGAAGATAAGATTACATTATTACATAAGACAGGTGGAGATCTTCCATTGCACCGACAGATTACACCTATCTTCTTATCTTCAAAGCTGGCGGAAATGGGGAACAACTTTTCCCTTGATACTGATGGAGCATCTGCTTTCTGAAAAGTCGAATTGTCCTGTTATGCCGACACTCTAAAGCTCGGGACCCTTTCCTTTATTGCTTTTGTCCTGGGCCATTTTGTCAGCAATTGCAGCAGTGAAGGAATCCCAAAAGTCACCAAGAGTGGGTTCCGTCTCATCGTCAGATTGAGACTCTCCTGCTAACACGTGGTCGGCTGGATCGGCCTCAGATTCGGATTGAGTATGACTGGTGCCTGACCTCATGGAGACGTCATCTTCAGGGTTAACTGATTGGAGAAACTGCTCTTTCAGGTAATCCATACTTTTGAGAATTAATTCATTATCGGAAAGGTTTGGGAATTTCTGTTTTAATTCCTTCTGCATCTGGACAAAAGGATTTGTAACTGGAGAGGAGGGTGCTGGTAAAGCAGGTTGCTTGACAGAGTCCCAACAGGCCTTAGTGTGCTGTTGAATTTTCGGGATGAGATCCTTAAGATCCATCTTATCCCACCATTTGACAAAGAAAATTCTTTTCAAACGTGGAACCTTATTCTGAAAATCACAAGCAAAGTCCCATTTCCAAATCCAAGGAATACTAAATCGGATTCAGAAATGGACAATAGCTTTTCGGATTGATAATTCTCTGTTTTTATTTAAATATGAATAGGCAAGAGCATAAGCCACATGCCATTCATTGAATTCTGTTCTGACTGATTCTGGTAAAATGTCAAGTGAAAGACCGAACTTATCCCACCAAATGAGGAACCAATTAGGAACATCATTTTTGAGAACATCGGTCGTAATACGGATAAACCAAGAATGATTCTTGACCGGATTCTGGTAGTAGAATACATGAGTAAAAGCATCAATGTAATCCCAGTAGGAATATTTTGTCTGTTTGTTACGGAGATCAAGATCCCGTGTGGTGTGCGGATGAATGCCCCAAGTAGAGATGGGCATAATATTACGGATGACAATTTTACTGAATTGAATAGGACTGGCAGCTTTATTGGCATCATGCAGAGTGTGCTTGATTTCAGCAGCTCCAGTTTCAACCATTATCTGTTCATAAATGTATCGGTATTTTGCCCGACCTAATTCTGACGAACCTCAGAAATCTGATCAAGATCCCATTGTCCGAGGTGTCCATTATTCTGACCAGCAAATACCTCATGGAGTTTATGAACAACCAATTCCTCTAAATATTTACTCCACTCCTAGGAAATCCAGTAAAGGTCAATATAGCCCTACAGCTAGTGATATGGATTTTCATGTTTAGATGGATTTTACACCAGGTAGTGACAATCGCAAGATTCTAAACCAGAATCTTTTACAGGAAAAGTATACAGAATTTAGAATATGGTATTTTGCTGTACATAGCAAAGAACAAATACAAGAATATAAAATTCAGTATTATTTTTATCTTAATGAAATACAAGTATTATATCCATTCCCTTTGTGGTATATACAGAATGTTTATCCTCCAGATTCTCAGCTTAATGTTTTAGAAGCCATCCAACAGAAATGGATAACAACTGATGGACGCGAAATCCATTCTGTGCATCCTCCTACCCAGACTCTAGAACTTTAGCCTACAGGACCAAACACCAAACCAATGACTATTGCAGCCTATACAGAAATTCCTCATAAAAGTCAACATCGAGATCCCGTTCTTATCCAAGATATGATTCCTGTCTTAAAACAAAATAATTATACTAATCTTTTCTGTCAAACAGCTGGCAAGCAGCTTACGCGTATCAAAGAAATGGTATCCCATGTTAAGAAAAGCTGCAAACTAGAGCCAAAACCTACAGATGTTGAACCAGTTATTATTAAACCTACTCCAGTCCTTCGAGATTTTAAATTAAAATCGAAAGAAGAAACCGAGTTTATGGATACCCTCCTTTCCCGCATTAAGAATCTGCACATTAGTGAACCACCTCTGACTTCTACGTCCCAAGTCAATATGCTTTCCAATACAAATCCTCTCCTTTCTGATGATTCTTTGGATCACATATCTCCTCAGGAGATTTTTGAAATCCAGCAAAATTTCCAACCCTCTTCCGTTAATCGGGTCACTTATGGCCCTAGTACCCAACGCTTATCCTTATCTGCTCCTAACTGGTATTATTATCCTCAGCCTAGTCCTATGAATATTCTCTATGAAGAAGACTTTTTATAGACCCAACGTTCTTACCATAGTAATACCATTTATGAATGGAATATTAATGGTCTTTCCGAATACCAGATTTATGAACTTCTCCAGCAGATGCTCATGTTTGCTACTGTTTGCAAACAAAATAACAATTCCGACCATCAAGTTGCTTGCTATATTGTTAGTGGTTTTACTGGTGTTCTGAAAGGATGGTGGGATAATATTCTTACACCAACTCAATGTACAGAAATCCTTTCATTCACCCATACTGTCCTTGAAATAGATCCCGCTGGTCCTAGTACTGGTCCTGCTGCAGCACAAGTTGAAAGACAAGAAGAAGATGCAGTCTACACTCTTATTAACACCATAATTACCCATTTTATTGGTCAAGCTACAGGAATAGCAGACCGAAATAGGGAATTACTGATGAAATTGCGATGTCCTTCTTTATCCCATTTTCGATGGTATAAAGATGTTTTCCTAATGAAAGTCATGCAAAGAGCTGATAGAAGTGCAGAGCATTGGAAGGCTAAATTCATTGATAGTCTTCCTACCCTCTTTGCAGAACGAGTTCGTAAGAAACTCAGAGACCGACACCGTTCTATTTCCATACCATATTACCAGTATACTTATGGCCAATTGGTTGGATTAGTGACTGATGAAGGTCTTGCACTTTGTAATGACCTTAAACTCCAGCAGCAACTAAAACAACAACAGCTTACAGGTAAAAAGGAATTAGGCAAATTTTGTGAACAATTTGCTTACGATCCTCAAATCCAGTATCCCCATAAGCAGAGAAAACATAAAAGCTATTCTAAACCTCCTAAAAAATACAGAAAATATTCTAAACCAAAGGTCCAGTCACAATCTCAGACATTTAAACCTAGGTATACATCCAGAACCAAAGGAACCAAAGGAAAACCTTTTCAGAAGAATAAATCCAGTATTAAATGTTACAAATGTGGACAAATAGGTCATTATGCTAATAAATGCAGAGCTAAGATTCAGTCTAAGTTAAATGAGTTAGCCTTAGATGATGATACGCAGCAAAAAATATTACAGTTAATCTCTGACTCTAGTTCATCATCAGATCCTTCTGATAATGAATTAGCGGCGATATACTCAGATAGTTCAGAACAAGAAACAAATGATAATCCAGAAAATGAAATTTGTCCTTGTAAAACAGTAAACCAAGTATCTGACGATGTAAATTATTGGAAAGCTATAGGCGAAATGAATGGACTTAATATTGGTCCCAGTATTAATGTCCTAACCGATTCTGAGCAAAATCTTCTCGAAATTGCTGATGGAATTAAAGATCCAGCTACTAAATTAAAGTTTCTTGAGATGTGTTATAATTAGAAGAAAGAAGAAGTACTTCCCCCTAAACATTATAGCATGAAGGAAGTCTTTAATCGAATGCAGACATCTAATCCAGAAAAACCTATTACAGTCCAAGAATTAAAAATGGAAATTAATGCTTTAAAGGTAGAAATTAAACATTTACAGAATTCACATCTTGTTATTAATTCACAAATTAAAAAAATTCATACCCAACTACAGAATGAAAAACCAACTAAAAATGAAACAATTGAACCTAATCCAGACTATTTAATGCTATTAAATAGAATAACATTTCAGAAATGGTATATTCGTATCACATTCATGATTCAACTAGATTATATTATTCGCGATGCTATTGCTTTGGTTGATAGTGGTGCAGATATGAATTGCATACAGGAAGGATTGGTACCTACCAAGTATTTCCAGAAAACAAGTCAATCACTAACCAGTGCCAGTGGAAACAATTTGTATATTGACTACAAACTTCCAGAAGTACAAATTTGTAACCAGGGATTATGCCTGAAAACCTCTTTTGTTCTAATTAAAAATATGGCTCAAAATATAATTCTTGGAACTCCATTCCTGAATCTTTTAATGCCTATTACTAAAATTGATACAATAGGTATCCATACAACTCTTGATAATCAAAACATTGTTTTTGAGTTTATCACTTCTCCTTGTACTAAAGAATTAGATCAATTTACTGATTTAGTCTCTTTAAAACAAAACCATATAAATTTTCTTCAAAAAGAAGTTAGTTTTCTAACTACAGAACAAAGATTACAGCAAACATCTTTTCAACAAAAAATTAAGTTGCTTGAAAAAGAATTCCAGGAAGAAATCTATAGTGATGTCCCCAATGCTTTTTGGGATCGCAAGAAACATATGGTTTCATTACCCTATGAGCTTACTTTCGATGAACGGAAAATCCCTACCAAGGCTCGTCCCAGTCAAATGAAAAAAGAGTATATGGAACTTTGTAAAAAAGAAATAAATACTCTTCTCCAGAAAAAATTAATTAGACCCAGTAGATCTCCTTGGAGTTGTACTGCTTTCTATGTCAATAAAAATGCGGAAATTAAACGAGGTATTCCTAGGTTAGTAATTAATTACAAACCTTTGAATGAAGCCTTACAATGGATTCGTTATCCAGTACCAAACAAAAAAGATCTCTTAGACAGGTTACAGGATGCAGTCCTATTTTCTAAATTTGACATGAAGTCAGGATATTGGCAAGTTCAAATTGTAGAAAATGATCGATATAAAACTGCTTTTACAGTACCCTTTGGACATTTTGAATGGAATGTCATGCCATTTGGATTAAAAAATGCTCCTTCAGAATTCCAGCATATTATGAATGATATTTTTAATCCATATACAGAATTTGCCATATGTTATATTGATGATGTTCTTATTTTTTCATCTTCGATAGATCAACATATGAAACATCTTAATATTTTTAAGCATGTTATTGCCAGAAATGGTCTTGCTGTTTCTGCTCCTAGGATGAAACTTTTTCAGACAACTGTTAGATTTTTAGGACATAATAGTCATAATGGAACAATTATTCCTATTAATCGTAGTATGGAATTTGCTTCCAAATTTCCAGATGAAATAAAAGATAAAACACAATTACAGCGATTTTTGGAAAGTTTAAATTATATTCATGATTATTACCCTAATCTTGCTACTGATGCAGCAATCTTATACAGCCGTCTTCGTAAAAACCCTCCTGTTTGGGGTCCAGAACATACAGCAGCAGTTAAGAAAATAAAGGCCCGAGTACAAACTCTTCCTTGTTTATGCTTACCTCATCCAGAATGGAAAAAAATCGTTGAAACTGATGCCTCAGAGACTTAGGATTTGGTGGCATATTAAAACAATTTAATCCAAATACCAATAAAGAGGAACTCTTACGTTTTCACTCCGGCATTTGGCATGATGCAGCTAAACGATATCCAACAATTAAAAAAGAATGTTTAGCCATCATTAAATGTGTTTTAAAATTCCAAGATGACTTATTAAATCAACATTTTTTAATCAGAGTTGATTGTTCTGCTGCTAAACAAATATTTAAAAAAGATGTTGCCAATTTAGCCCAACGCCAGATTTTTGCTACTTGGCAGTCCACCCTTTCTGTCTTCGATTTTGATATTGAATATATTAAAGGTGAAAATAATTCCCTTCCAGATTTTCTAACTCGTGAATATTTGCAGAAATCTTATGCAGGGTAGAAGCCGGGGCTCCGGCTGTTGGGTTCGTGGAAGGGGTTCTAACCCCTATCATACAGAATTTCCGCCATTATTTGGCCAATCCGGTAATCTCGGAGAATCTTCTAGCAAGTCTGCTAAAGATGTACTCCTTACTCCAAAAATAGCTTACGTCCAGAATATTATTCGTGAAGAAACCGTCCTCTACATTGACTCTTCAGATATTCAATGGATGGTTGATCCGTGGGAGATAAAACGACGTTATCTCGCCACTCAAAACGCACCCCCGCGTTTTGACCAATATAGATATGTGTACGAGCAAATTCTTATAGAACTTGCATCGGTACAATTCCAGCATCATCTGGCCGATCCTAATCGGACTGCGAGTCCTATTAATTACAGTAAGGCTACTATCCAGAATATTGTGTCTATCCAGGCCTGGGGTATGCATCCCCATGTTATCCGAACTCTTGACATCCGGTCCAAAGAATCCAGATACAGTTATTGGGATTATATAGATGCTTTTTCTCAGGCTTTTTACTATATGAATCCTCCATGAAGCCATTCTTGATTCTTCCGTGTTCTTCCCGACATTCTCAAAAATGATCTCCCCAATTGGTTTCTCATTTGGTGGGATAAATTTGGTATCCAGCTTGACGCATTTCCAGAACATGTTCGCCTTGCATTTAATGAATGGCAAGTGGCTTTCAGTCAGCTTCCAGTGAATAAAGAAATCTCTATGTCAAAATGTCTTATTCATTTTGCCATTCGCTTTGGAATTCCATGGATCTGGAAATGGGATTTCAAATGTGACTTTCAGAACAAGGTCTAAATAGGCAGTTCCTCATTTGGATTTTTCACTTGAATTTTCGTCCTCAATTCTGCTATTGTTCTCTCTGCATTTTGCTGCATTATTTTCCTGTAAGAAAGAGTGTAAACACAAGGTGTGTTTGTTGTGCAAACAGTTTATAGTGCTGCTATTGTTTGCTGTTGATCATTTTATCCTGGGAGATAGACGTCCACAATCTGAAAACATCATAGAGAGAACTAATCTATCTTAAGGACACAGTGTTAAACACTAGACCTGATCAAAAATTTGTTCGACAAATAAATAAGGTAAGTAATTAATTTACTTTCTGTTTCATTTATTTTTATCATATTCTGATTTTGTCTTTATAACAAAATAAGAATCTGTTGTTTTATTTTATTTTATATGCTGTTTTGATTTTTGTAATCAAATAGTTTCTCTCATTTCTTTAATTTTTTGAATACAGTGAAGATTGTCCAACAATCTTAAGACAGATTTATTTTTTGTGTCTGCATTGTATTAATTTTCTGTGTTTTTTCAAAGTGATATTTTGGTTGAAAATACAAATAGTAGTCATATATTGCTTGATAAATAGTAGTAATATACTGTTTGTCATTAACAATTTCAGAATATTAATTTGTGTAATAGTGTTACAGAAAATTATTGTGTAGTATTTTATTTTTCTAGTTTTAGTAACTAGAAAAATAAAAATTTTTTGTGTTATAATTTATTTTCTGGTTTTAGTAACTAAAAAATTAATTTGTGTTTTAGTTTTTCGGATTTTTATAATCAGATATTATGACTACCACAACTGAAAGTGGTACTCCAATTATTACAATGTCTCCGATCCCTATCTAGAACCATGTTCAAGTTCCAATAATTCATGGAGAAAAATCGGAAAAATTTAATGGTACTGAGTTTAAGAGATGACAGCAGAAAATACTGTTTTATCTTACAACTCTAAATTTGGCTCAGTTTCTCCGTGAAGAGGCTTCAGTACTCAAAGAGGATGAAAGTGATCAGCAAGTTGTTGCCGCTGTAGACGCTTGGAAACATTTTGATTTTTTGTGCAGAAACTACATCCTCAATGGCCTAGACAACATGCTGTATAATGTTTACAGCCCTCAGAAAACAGCAAAAGAATTGTGGGATTCTTTGGAGAAAAAATACAAGACAGAGGATGTCAGGACAAAGAAATTTGTTGTTAGTAAATTTATGGACTTTGTTATGGTAGACTCTCAAACGGTAATTTCTCAAGTTCAAAGTTTTCAATTAATTTTGCATGATATTCATGTTGAAGGTATGTTGCTTAGTGAGTCTTTCCAAGTCGTTGCGTTAGTGGAAAAATTACCACTGGCTTGGAAAGATTTCAAAAATTGTTTAAAACATAAACGCAAAGAGATGACTATGGATGAACTAATTGTAAGACTAAAAATTGAGGAAGATAACCATAAAGCTGAAAAAAGAAATGGTAAGAATTCATTGAGTCCAAGGCTAATGTGGTTGAACAAGTGCCCAAACCACGTAACAAAAAAAGGAAGTTTGCTGAAGATGGTCCTAAACAAGGTGACAACAATGGCAATAAGTTCAAAGGAAAATGCTATAATTGTGGTAAGACCAGACATCAAGCCTCTAATTGCCACTGCCCTCAGAAGGATCACAGAAGTACAAGCAAGAAGATTACTAATCGAGCCCATGTGACAGAACTAGATTACATCTCTGACGGGGTAAATGACATCAATCTCTCTACTGTGGTGTCTGAGGGTAATTTGGTTGGAAATCCCAAGGAATGGTGGGTTGACACAGGAGTAACTCGTCATATTTGCGCAGACAAGAAGATGTTCACTACATATAATGAGGCTACAAATGGTGAACAACTTTTCATGGGAAATTCTTTTGTTTCTATTGTGGCTGGACAAGGAAAAGTGATCTTAAAGATGACATCGGGGAAAGAACTTACCCTCAACAACGTGCTGCATGTACCAAACATCCGAAAAAAT